CACCATTATACAGTGAAGTCGTTTCTTCCGAAACTTCCGGGCGTTTCTTTTGCTTGCATGTAATATTTTACGTACGCGACTGTTGGCTATTGTAGTGCAATTAGAATCTTCGGAGCTCTATCCTTGTGCGGCTTACTATTCACGGTTCTCCATACTATCCGACTTTGAATATGAGTCTAAAATCCAATTTTCTGGCACAAATTGGCTTTTCTAAGCCTTAGCATTTAAAGTTTGAAACATCGGTGTTAATAGCGCACTACGGTAGGAGTGGCATAATCCATGCTATTAAAGAGTGAACGATTTTAAAGGAAGCATTTGCACGGCTTCAATATTTGCTGCATGTCACTCATGACCGTATCTTTCTTAATTGCAGAAACTTTACACTTAACACCTACAGAGGCACTACGGATTTATTCATGCTGCCGTGATCAATTCGTTACATTGTCATAGGTTTCTGAAAATTTCCGTTACTGCTTGGTTTTCCAAACTTTATAGGCCATCCTTGTCTTTGTGGCCTTCCTTTTTTGTTGACTTCAAGATTGTCACGTCATCGCATCTACTTGTGAAATTCGAAATAAGTTCCTTTCGCGCTGTGATTTATAATTTTTGCTATTTCAGCCGCTGGTTTGATAGCCAGATAGACTCGATGGAGTTCGGTCACTGCATTTCTTCCAGTGGCATTTAACACTTTTTCGCCCTTGCCTTATTAATATAGGCAGGTTCCCTGAGCAAAGTTATCACCAAAGATATGAAATATTGGATTTCGTTGACTCGTCGCAGGTAAAATTTTCAATCAGCTATACAGTTCCATAGAAGAAAAACGTAGTAAAGGGCGTCTGAACCGTTTTTGACATTGTGTCTATGTGGTATTACAGTGAACATGGATTGCTTGCAATCGATGGAAGCAGACGAGTGCATAAAGTGACTGTTTACCTTTTATTTTCAGTAAAATCCCGTTTTTATACGCCCAGGAAAGCTTACATCTTACTGCTTACTGTAACTATAATATTCGCCGCTTTTAATTATTAAGACAATCCGTCTAATTTTGGCTGTTTTGTGATCCAAACGAATTTTTCCGCTAATAGATTTGCAGTCAGATAGTTGAAGCTACATGACGCTCCCTCATCTAGTGATATGGGTTAAACATAGACCAAAACCGGTTTTGTGTTTAATGATTAAACAAATGGATTCCAGGGACGGAAGCCTTGTTTACATTGTTCATGTTTGACACATCCTTCTGTGTATGCGTAGGTATGCTCATGCATTGGTGCGTAGGAGTGTTGACGTATGATTTCAGATGTATAAACACTAGAGAAACTCATTTACAACAAAACATTGGCCTGTCCATTCTTTTCACAGTGAAACAACACGAAAACTAGGAACAGCAAGCAGCACATTAGAGGAATGTTTACGATTTTAATTGATAGCTTTGGTGGTTTGAAAAAATTACAATATCATACACAAAATGCTAGAAACGGAAACATGAAGAACTAAAAAGGAGAAACCATAGCAACCTGTGGAGTAAGATCATATGTGAAAAAAAGGCAAAGCAGGGGCTTAAGTTGGTGTAATGAACCCCAGGAGAGGATAATCATGGATTTGAAGCCCAAGTAAGACTCCATGTTTTGCTTACATCTCAGCATCCCTATGTTTGTGCTTCACATCATACTCTGCCACGAAAAAAGATTGGAAAGTAAGTAAACGTGAAAACATTTTAAAAACGAAACAGTTCGTTAAGCAGGAAGCACTGATAAATTCGCTTGTATTCTATTGAAATAATTTTGTGGTCATAGTGTTATATATCGGTTTTTCTGGCAGTGATTTGCTCGCATGTCAAACATGATCGAATGGCTGAGGAATAAGCTCCTTAGTTCCGCGTTATAGCTGTGGTGGTGGGTAATGTTCCTCACCATCGAACTGCAATTTACAGTGAGATATCTTTTTCCACTAGAGGTCCCGAGGCTGCGAAGGTCTCTTCGACTTCTTCGTATACTAAAACTAGTATTTGTACGAGGAATAACATTACACTTTGCTATAAAATACTCAGTCATTGGAGTGATAGCGTCATAGAAGCTGGCCTAAATGAAGGAAAATTTTGCCCAGAGCGCAATTTGCCTTCTGCTCGACTCTAGAGCTAAGTAGTTTAATGATACTGATTTCCATACCCAGACGTAACTAGCGCAACCGGAGATATTCATTTCGTTATGCGTGAATACATAGGAATCTAGACCATTCCTCAAACATAATTTTTGTGAGATCTACTCTAAGA